CACCCCACTGTATGCCATATTCCACCACTTTCACAGTACTAACCTTATCTTTTTCTCTACCTTTATGTCTGTCTATCTCTTTTGTTCTGTTCCCCACCCCTCGACTTTCTGCTACTTTGATGAACTTTCCCTCTGTGAAGCCCGGAGTCAGCTAAATGGCTAATGATAGTTATCAAAACGCCTGCCATTTGAAATAAATAAATGACTCTACTGTATGTCATATTCGGTCACTTTCACAGTACCCACCTTACCTTTTTCTCTACCTTTGTCTGCAACCTTTACATCTGTGAATCTAATGATAGCCATTAGATATAAATAATTGTTCTTATATTTCGAACGCCAATTGTATAACAGTAATCAAGCGATCTGAAATTGAGACCTACTAGAGCACATTTTTTAGACATCAGAATGGCCAAGCGCAATTACAAATACTGCTTAATAGAAAGTAGGTTTTTTAATCAGACAGGCTCTAAGAAGCCTCCATGTGCTCGTAAAAAACGACTTAAGAAAATGTTGATTTAATTAGATTCACAATATTTCGCCTACAATGCAATAGTTAAATAAAAGAAGCGTGAGATCGTATACCGCACGATAGTAATGTCCAAAAACCCTGTCCAGCTCTAACGAATGAGTCAACCACTATTGGACCAATCAGCGACCACATTTCTGAACGCGTCTGAGTGCCAACCAGTAAGATTGTAGATGGGGGGAATGAGAGGGAGGGTGAGAAAAGGCAACCAAGAGGAAAAATGATACAATGGAGCAGGTCAGTGTAGCCAAAAGCGAATAAGATTGAGTTGGGAAAATAAACACGAACAGAAGAATACACACTCCGGTGAGCCAAAATATACTTTGGGAAGCCAAAGAGATCGACAAATAAATAACAAGTTTGTATGTTAGAGTGAATCATACGAGAGGAGTCCCATTATAAAAGCCGAAAAAAGCGCAAGAACAGTATTTTAAATTACTTCCCTTGGACGATAGATGTAGTAGAGAAATGGCTTCCCGACTACTCAAATACAAAATACGATCGCTCAGACCTCCAACTTCACCCACGTGATAATAGAGATTAAAAGACGCGATTAAATTCAACTAATTAAAACGACTTTTGGGCGAAACATCTCTAATTTGAACCTGTTGCCCCCAAATTGCCAGTCTATAACACAACAGTAAACCTGGATATAGTCGGCCGATGCGCATTTTGCTGTTCAAGTTCTTTCATTATAGAAGGTTCCAAATTCGACATAGAACGGCAATTTTCTGCTTAATTTCTACCACTGGAGTCCTAAGAAAGTGCTTGTTAATTAGGGTTGTGGGAAAGAGTACCAAGCTATCATTATTGCTTTAGAAAGTTTAAATTTGTCTTACTAATTAAAAGTTAAGCTGAGGCCTATCATTAAGGAAACTGCGCATTAGTGGCTCACAATTCAGATAAGAGATTAGTTAGTTCAGATTAGTTAGATTTAAGCACTGATAAAATTGCCCTAAAAATAGGGTATTGACCGCGAAAAAATAACATTTCTTAAATGCAATTAAGTGATCGGAAGTGAAAATACCACACAAGATAGCAAGATGTTAGAAGGTCACGCAATTATTAAAATTGGCAGACACAATTCAGAAGAACACAACATAAATTTCAGAAAGAAAAAAATTGATAACATTTATTGCCTCACTTCGGTAAGAGACCAATACACTTGCAACGAAAAAAATTATTCGTTTTGCAAAATAGACTAAACATACAACCCTTTAAGACTATATTAAAATGATCGAAAGAGAATTTTGCTTCCTCCACCAAAATGAGTCATTTTCTAGCGAGGAGCAAAAAAAAGATATAAACACAAATTTTGGGCGAAATTGAGTGCTAGGGGGGGGGGGGGGAAGGATGACACGGGGAAGTAAAAATTAGCCCAGCGACCAAAGCCACCGAAACAAAGAACGACTAGTAGAGCTGTGGAGCATTGTGCGAGAGGTGATTCAATGGGAAGAAATAGAACCCCATCGTGATAATAAATTAGCTATTCCCGCTCTTCGCCATGATTAGGAAAGAATCTAGGTCTTTTTGTCAGGCAACACCCCCCTCCCCCCCCCATCCTCCCTAGAATAGGACTGTGAGGGGATAACAAGGAATACTATTTAATGGCTATTGTAGATCACAGGCCTAAATTATGACAAGCAGGCCACCAAAGGAATTCTACTCTTGCTCTCCTACCAAGTAAACTGCTCGATTGAGTTTGGCGGTGGGCTGCTATGCACTAGGCTTAGCTCTATGGGGGACTCAAAATTATTTGCCATGATAAGTTCTGAATTAATAATTAACACATTAAGAAAATACCTAAAGAAGTCAAAAAACCAAATTATGTGGAGAGAAGTAGAAGTGGCAAAAATGGCTCATTAAATTTTACCTTCCAACCAAATTCACAGAACAGAATCGCAAAAAAAACTGCTGAAGAAATAATCACTTTAAAAGAGGATTCCTCGTTTTAACAGGAGGCTAATGGGAGAACAATTAGAGACTATCAACTCAAGCATCAATTGGTCACTAGCAGACAATTACTGGAAAATCATAGCCACTCAGTAAATAACACAGCATTTTTATTTCAATATGCATTGGCTTGCAATTACTGTCAATTCACCAAATCTTCTACGGTAGGGAAGAATTTAGAAGAACTCATTTTGAGTGGAGGATACAATACTCTGAAACTTTGGATTCTCCACGTCGCTGCTAGAGTGAGTTGTAATCAACAAAAGGAACATGGACTAATGCTTAAATCACAACGCCACTAAACACAGAAAGCTTGCCTTGATAAGAAATAAAATGAAACACCTTCAGCTGCAACAACTCATGAATGCTGGGGTAATTCTCCACTCAATACATACTCAAAGAAAAAAACGAGAATTGAATGAATTGATATATGACTCACATTATAAAACAGGACCTTGACGTTTAGATGCATAAAATGACACAATCCAAGAATTTGGAAACCCCCCCCCCCCTCCCCGCCCTCCCAATTAATGAGGCAAATCGTACACGCGACTGCGCTAGCCCAGGTTGCAAACCGAACTAGGATTAATGGAACATCCGCGGAGGGAGGGAGGTAATTTTAACGACGACCTACATGAGATCATCGTGTCCTGAAACTTGTGCCCCCCTCCCCCCCCCCCC